CAGCAGCAGCAGCAGCAGCAGTGCTGTCGTCACAGCTCTGCACACGGCGGCGTGGCGTTCTTCACCGACGATGGTATCGACCTCGCAGACAACAGCACCACTGACGGTTTCGCGGGTGCCATGTCGCTTTCCCACCCGTGGTGGCGCTGCAGCACGGAAGAAGACGCACCTTTTCGTGCGGCGTGCCGTGTGCGATCGCCACTCTTCCGCGGAGGCAACAGCGGATCGCATTATCACTGCGGCCCCGCCGAGACACGGCTGTACTGGACGGAGAGTGCGCAGGCTTTCAGCGGCGGTAACAGCAGCAGCGGCAGCAGTACTTGCTGCTGCAACAACAACAACAATATTGTTCACGGGGCCTCGGGGTCTGGCAGGCAGCCAGCTGCCACGGCATGGTACAACTTGACGTATGACTTACCAAAGGCGCCACTGCCGCCGGAGAGTCTTTCGCAGCCGTACAACCTTCCGGACGATGTTGGCAAATCAGATATAACGCTCACTAACGAGACACCGATACAGAGTCATATATTTGTACTGGGGCGACACGTATCGAACAAGGACAGCGTCTCCTCCACTGTGGCAGCCGAAGACGGCAACAGGGAGAAGAATGATGCTAGTTATAGTGGTGGCGGGATTCGTGACCAGATGGAGGCGCTGCGCCGACGAATTGAGGCTGTGGAGGCGCAGCGCTCAACTGAGCCACAGGGGCTTGGTGCGATTGGGATAGCGCCACGCAAAAGCGAAGGCAGAGATGCCGCACCTTCATCAGGAGCAGCAGCACCATCCGTATCGGCTCCACCTGTTCCCTTGTCAGGGGAGGCGCAAGCTCGGCCAGCAAGGGCCGCAACACCGCCACCAACGGCAGCTTCAGTAACACCAACAGAAGGGGTGACAAGAACAGTGGCGTCAGCAACACACATCTTCGCTCCACCGTCCCCACCTCTAACCACTGGCCATTCGGATGGCATTACACTTGAGCGACTGATGCGGGCTGTTCGTAGTGCCCGAGAGCGGGCGAAGCAGCAGCAGCAACAGGAGTCCTGAAGTCTGCCGTTGAGTGCCCTCACCAGAGCGGGTGTGTAGGTGGGTGGGGCAGCTGTGGCATCTGACAGATAAGGCAAAACGCTCGACGGCATGGAATGCCGCTGAGGCTGTATGGATTGATGCATCTCGTGGTGGCTTCTCTTCGTTGTGCATCCAAGCAACTCCCTCCTGTGGGGGTCGCGACCGTGTGAGATAACACAAATATGCACAGATGTACACACACACACACACACACACCGCACTTCCCTTTTTTTCCCCCCCCCC